TTGCCTCTAAGGAACAGGCTGGTTTCACCCTCTGCAGGACAAACTTGTTGATTCTTTTAGCAGTCCATCATATATTCAATACTCTTCTCCAACCCCACAGCTCAAAGTCATCAATTCTCTTTCTATCATCCCCAGTCATTGTCCAGCTCTCTGATCTGATGCATAGCAAGTAATGCAAAGACCATGGCCTGTATCAGGTGCACCTTAGTGTCCAGGTTGACACCATTGCTCTTCAGTACTCTGGAGATGTCTCTGACAGCTAGGTTATATGCTTCAAAAAGTTAGAAACTGCAAATCTACATCACAAATGGAGATATCAAGAGTTAAAATGGATTCAATGGTGACTGGTACATATTTTTGCCTGTGCACATACATAAATATTATAGTTGATAACATGGGCTCTTAGTCCAGACTTTGTGTCTGACCAGGCTAGATATGTATCTCTATTTTGACAACTTTGAAATATGCATCTCTATCTGTGTCTATATAAATATTGACATGAAGATGCATTGTGAGTTCTTCTGCATACTGGTCAACCTCTCTGAACTTTCGTTTTGAGATTTGTAAAATGGACACTGCTCATTGTGAAGCTTGTAAATGGCATAATATATATGACCAAGATGAGTACCTGAAATTTAATAGAAGGTCTGCGAATAGTACTTCTTTATCTACACACATTTATCATTTATTTCATTTTTTAATGCATACTCTTACCAATTGTTCCTGGGTCTATACGAATTCCATCAAAACGATCACAAAAGACTCCTTCAGAAGCCCGAAGGAGGATCAGAAGCTTTTGTTCTTTCTTCAATGGACTGTCAAAAGTACCTGTTGAAGGGGAAAAATATATATATACATTTATATGACGTTGTTGTTGTTAAGTGCCATCGAGTCGTAGGCGACTCAGCGACCTTATGAACGAAAATTCTCAACACTTGTGTGATTTTCAACCTTTCTCCAGGTTCATAGGGTTTCCAGAGGCAAGCTATTATGGAAGTGGATGCTACTCCTGCTTCCAAGCTTGTTTTAATCGGGGAGCACCACCAAACACTGTCCGCCATGGTTAGCCATTAATGCATTTGACATATCAGTGTCACAGTGTTCAGCTTCACAGCAACCACAAGTTACCTCTGTACAGCAAGTGGACACACCAGAACTATAAAACCTATAATAATGTTTGAACAAAAATATATACATTTATATATACACACACATATAGTTGTTGTTTTTTTGTTGTGTACCATAGATTTGGAACTAATAGATGACCCTCCAGTGGATTTTCAGAGGCAGTTCATTGCAAGGGAGGAGAATATATATATTTTATTAATTGTAAAAATTGTAATATAGCTTCAAAAATATCAAAGTAGATGATATAGAGGTACACAGATGAATAAGAGGGGATAACTGAGATGCTTCACTTCTCTTTGGAAAATTAATTTCTGTTCAACAGTATTGACTCTTCTTTTTAATTAGGGCAGAGTATATCTTCCTAAGCTACAATAGTTTAGTTGCATCATATAATTTGTTTTGGAAAGTGGTATTTGGGTAGAAATGATGGTAAGCCATCAGTTCTGAACTGATGTTTTAAGAGGCTTGCCAAGTTTCCTACAGGCCTCCTTAAGTGCTTTTCTTTACCATGAAGAGTACATCCTCTAAATACCCTCTAGTTCCTGCATGAGGATATATAAAAAATAGACTAACATAACCAAGGCTAAGCTGAGAATAACATAAACATTTGTGGTAAGCCATTGAGACAAATATGGTGTCAATATCAGAACAGTGTTCATCAACAACCTATATTACGCAATCAACTTTGCCTGCAGAAGAAGAACTATACTTGAGGAATTTACTGAATATGATCATTCACAACTTTCTATGTGGATTACACCTTAAACTCAAGAAAATCCTCACCACTGAAACAGTAAGTATAATCACGATAGATGGAGAAAACATAGAAGCTATTAATTATGTCTTTTTGCTTGGATCCACAATCAATAATATCACAGTAGTACCAGTCAATAAATCAAAGGGCATGTTGCATTCATGCATATTGCATTCTATACACTGTGATTCCTTCATGTCCATTGTGTTTTACACAATAATTTATAAGCTCATCATCAAGAAATCAAAGATTCTCACCACTCAGACAATTGGTAGCATCAAGAGATTGAGATTGTTAACACCTTTAGTTTGCTTGGCTCCACAGTCAACACTCTTAGCACCAGCAGGTAGGAAACTAAAAGATGTATTGAAATGGGAAAGTCTGCTGTTAGAGACCTCTCCAAAGTACTGAAGAGTAATGATTTAACTCTGGAACCAAGGTGCACGTGATACAGGCCATGGTCTTTACAATCACTTGCTATGCGTCAGAGAGCTGGACAATGACTGGGGATAATAGAAGGAGAATTGATGCCTTTGAGCGTAGTTCTGGAGAAGAGTATTGAATATATCATGGACTGTTAAGAGAAGGAACAAGTTGGTCCTAGAGGGGATTAAACCAGGCTGTTCATTGGAAGCAAGGATTTTGAAGCTTTGTCTGACATACTTTGGACATGTTTCAAGGAGGGACCTGTCCTTGGAGAAGGACATCATGCTTGGGAGGGTGGAGGGACAACACAGGAGAGTAATACCCTCTATGAGATAGATCGATTCAGTGACTGGGATAATGGGACTAGGTGTGTCAGAGACAGTGAGGTTGGCACAGGATAGAGCAGGGTAGTGCTATTGTACATATGGTTGCTATGAGTCACAGACAACTTGATGGCACATCACAGGAACAATGTCTGCTATTATCCTGTCTCCTTAGTCACTATCACATGGTTTTTATTTCTTCGCCTTGATCTGCCCACTAACCTCTGCTATCCTAGTGATTTGCGCCCTCCCTCTTTTTCTGCCACTTTCCCTTCCCTTTGAACATTTATCCATGCCCTGCTCAGTTACATTCCTATTTTCACAAGTCACAATGTATATGATTTATTATATAAAACACAATGTATAATGAAAGAAACATAAGTTACTTGAACAAAACATAATGTACATGTATATGCAAATAATATTATTTTAATAGAAAGACATGTTGTATTGGGAAACATTGTTTTTGGAGGCTCCAAGTGTGAGAGACAAAGATGTCCCTTTAAAGACTAAAATATGCTTGACTCAATTCATAATATTTTTAAATCAATTGTTTCAATTGTATGTAAAGGTTGGACATCATATAAGGAAGAGAGAAGAATAATCTATGCATTTTAATGGTGGTGTTTGCAAAGAGTATTGAATATCCCATGGGACGCCGAAAGAACAGTAACTCTATCTTGGAGGAAGTGCAATCAAGGTGCTTCTTAAAGGCAAGGATGGTCTAACTTCATCTCATATGCTTTGAGAATTTGGCACCAGTAATTGGAAAAAGACATGCTGGGAGAAGTAGAGGGTCAGAAAAAGAAAAGAAAATCCTCAATGACTTGGACTGACACAGTGACTGCAACAATGGGCTGAGCATGATGAGGAATGCGAGGATGGTACAGGACAGGGCAAAATTTCAGTTTGTTACTCATTGTGTCAGTCTGAGTCACAGTCAACTTGACAGCACCTAGCAAAACAACAGTTGATATTCTGAACTCATTTGTCACAAATCATCATTGTAATAAACCTGACTGATAACACTGTCTATACCTGTAGTCCCAAATTGCATTATATCTTATCATTTAATCTTTATAATGAGTCTAATAATATATACTTTTCTAACCCCAATTTTAAATGTTTATGAAAAGGTTTAAGTTATTATTTTTTTCTTGCTTTGTTTTTTTTTCACAGATACATCAAAATAACAAATTTGTCTAATTTAATAGTACAAATCTGAACAAAGGTCTGTTTAGGTTAAATATTTTGTTTAATGAATAAAAGATTATTTCTTAAGTATAGATTATTTTTCCAAATAAAGAGAAAACCCATAAGCAGTATGTCTTGTTAGTTATTGTTGTTAACTTGATGGCACCTAACAACAACAACAACAACATGGTTATGCCATAAATCATGAATGAGCAAGGATTAGAACTCATAGCCTGTGCATTTTTAATGAGTAGGATGCCGCCACTATGTGTAAGTAATGCTGGTCCTCAGCTGAGCCCTGATACAGCCTCTCAGGCAAAATAAGAATGTATTAGAACAGAAGGGAGAGAAGTGGAGAGGAGGAGAATGTTAATATATATATATATATATATATTTAAAAAAATAGTTCTTATCTTGCAGTTATAAGTCTGTCCAGTAAGCTGTTTTCCAACTGTGATTTCATTTATTTCACGGAGGGTAGTTTAGAGTCTTGGAGAGGAAAATGGCCTAGCACTAAACAGATAGTAGAGAGGGGGAGGGAAAAAAGTAGGACAGTTTTTGCCCTAGAGAAATATATGCAGAGTCCCACAAAAGAGTTTCAGCGTTCCTCTCAAATTAGAGATTAAATCAATTATGCAACTCCAAACTGCAGCACATGTGGCGCTTCTGCAAAAAGTCTGGGCAAAATTAGTCATCCTGTAGTGATTTTTTTGGTATATATATGATGACCAGAGTACGGAGGCTTTCTCGTTGTTTCATCACGTTTTGTGGGTTGTGCTGTTTTTGTTTTTTGGTTTGTTTGTTTTTTTCTTTTCAACTTTGAGAAGGGAAAGACGGAAGATAGAAGCTGAAAAGAATAGTGAGAATAGTGTCCTCTGAAAGGAAATATATGCTATGGTAGCATTAAAATGCAATACTAATGTCTCTCTTTATTTTAAAATCTAACAACTCTAAAATCTAACAGGGCTTTGTCTCAAAACTAGAATTGTTACAGTTGTTGTTGTTGTTGCTGCTAAGTCCCATCAACTGGAACCCAACTGATAATCAACAGATCTGAACTCTGTCCTGTCCTTCGTCATCAATAATACACTTGAGCTCATTTCTGTAACCACTGTATCAATCCATCTCCTGGATGATCTTTCTCTCACCTTCCACCTTTCCAAGGAATAGTTTCTCCTAGCTACGTGCACAAAGTGCGTGAAATGAAGCTTAGCTATCTTTGCCTCTAAGGAACGGTCTGGTTGCACTTACTCTAAGACATATCTGTTCATTCTTTTGGCAGTCCCTGGGATATTCAGTACTCTTCCCCATCACCACAACTCAAAGACATTACTTCTTCTTCGGTCATCCTTATTCATCATTCAGCTCTTAGATGCATAGCAGAGTCGTCACTTATAAAAGAAGTCTCAAGACAATGAAGTTCATTCCTAGTTTTCCTCTTTTAACCTGTTCCAAAGTCAAACTTTGTAGGTCTTTGGGTGAATTCTGACTCAGTGAGTCCATGTGATGGAATAAAATTGTCCCATAGGGTTTCCTAGACTGCAATCTTTATGAAAGCATATCACTAGGGATTTCATCTGTATAGAATCTGATTAAATTTGAACCCTGGCATTTCAGTTAGCAGCCAAGCACTGGAACATTGTTTCAAACAGTACATAAGAGGCATTTTCAACTTGGGGTAATTTAGATATCCACAATGAGAGGAAATAATTCTTAAAGTGCTATAAAAATAGGCCAGATGTTTTCATATCATTTTATTTTCATGAGCAAACTGAAGCAAAGAGAGCGCCAGGCACATTTCAAATATTAAACTAATGAATGGTGAAGCTGGGTCTTCTGTTTAGTATGCATCATTCTATAGCACAGGGATAGAGAGGAAAGGGAAGCAGTGGTAATAATTAATTATAATAGTGCGCAATGCAAAGGAAGCAGAATGCATTTCAGATCTAAAATCACCTAGACATGTGGAAGAAAAGGAATTCTGATAAACAAGAGACAGCCAT